ATCGGAAAACAACTACTAATATGTATTTTTTAGACAAAGAAGGAAAATACAATATGAACTTGCATCATAAAATTATTAGAATAAATGTTAAATGTTGTTATAATGTCTGTTTGATTTGCTGTATACAACGTTGGAAAAACCACACACGACATGAATGGAACACAAATACACGATCAAACGCAATTTAAAATATATAAAAGATTAAAAGTGATAATTTAAACACAACAAGTATGTTAATTATTTCAAACAAGATTATAATTTTTGTAGAGAAACTTAATAATTTTTTAAATTTTTTTAAGAGGTATAATTTCTATTCTCGCTCAATCGTCTTAATTTTATAAGAATAAAATAGTATTTTTAATCTCAATTTTATGTTCAAGTTGAAGATTAAATTTTAATTTTTTTGGTTTTTCTTGTCCTTTTTTATTATTATAATCTTACGATATAAAATTATAATAGGTATTTTTTTTTATAAAATTTAATAATATCTTTTAATTTAAGTGAGCTAAATTATTTAATTAACTGATTTATGATAGATCGAGTTAAATTGATAAAAAAAAATTTCATTTAATTTAGGTATTTTTAATTTTTTTATTCTGAATATCAAATTCTAAACATGGATAGTTTAAAAAAATAATTTATTTATAAATAAAATTAATATAATTAAATGATATTAATTAATTTTTTAATTACGTGAATTAACCTTTTATTATTTATATTTTGAATTGGATGTAGTATATCAGTAATTTAAAACTACATTTAGAATGTATTAAAGAGTTCTGTGGCGATAGGGACCTAGGGTGCTTAAATATCCGCGCTATGAGACATTATGATAGTGTAATGATAAGTACGGAGCTTCTCTTTATTTTGTGGCTCAATGCATGCATCAAACTTTCAACTCTCCTTCGGCTACGACATCCCGCACATTAATTTATACGTATTTATTTTTTACCATGCACCATTTTTACAAATATAAACAAACAGAGTAAACCAATATATAATAATAGGGTTTTTCTACCACGTGTAAAACTGTACATACACTTTCAAATTATTTTTTTTATTTAATTGATTATTTAACTTTTCCTTTATCTTATATATATATATATACACGTATGTGTGTGAGAGAGAAAGATTCACTTAATTATAAATAAATTTATTTAGATGAGAAATCTATTTACTCTAATAATTTAGATTTATTATTAAAATAAATAATTTTTTTATCTAAGTATACTTACTTCCTCATAATAGATTATTTGTATAAAATATTTCAATGATTATTTATTAATTTGAATTAATGAAATAAAATATTAAATAATTCTTATTTTTTATTTTTTATTTATAAATTTTATTTATATAATAAGAATAT